CTCAAACCCTGATGGCTTGTTTCCTCCATCTCCAGACCAGATCTTTGTTTTTTTTCAAATGCAGCTGCACGTGTTTTATCAAGTTTTTGATGTGCTTTTGATGCATTTTTTGTTTTGTTTTAAAGTATGCAGATTATGTCTCTGAGGTCATTTCCTGCTTACTCTGTCTTTCACGTGTTTGTGACCTTCACAGGAGTTACTAACAAGAAGTGAAAAGCATAGCAGCATACATGCAGAATACATCCAATTTGTATGTACTTACCACAATTCTGCTTCTGGCCTTTGGACATCTGGTCAAAGTTTGGAAAAACTTTGGCTGCTATGTTGGTCCACTGCTCTGCTTTCTTATTGTTATTCTTGTATTGTGGGTTTGTAGGACCATAAAGGACACTCCTGCACATTAGGTGATAAAACGGTCAGTGTCAATAAGTTTGTCCACCATGTTGGATAGAACAGAGGACAATGTCAAGGTCATCAACTTACAGCTGAAAACACCCCTTTTCCATAAGGAAGTGTTCACTGTTGATTAGGTCATCAAAAGTGACAAATAAAAAACTTTCGTTCTGGTGCATTCGTACAAGTTTTTGACGCGTTCCAGTGCATTCCAGCAGTACTTTTTTTGAACGCACTGGAACTGACTGCACTGGTGGGAACTAGGTAGTCAGAACTTGAGGGTGGTGTGGTTGAACCTTACAGGTGTGATGCCATTAATCTCTCTGATATATGTCTTGACCTGCAACGCCGACGATCCAGGAATTTTGATGCCAAGTGAATTATTTTATAACCCACCTGTCTTTTGGGGACAGTTATTTCAAATTTCATTTTGTATGCTCGAATCGTGGTGATTGAGCTGGATTTAAGTTGTTTCTGATGTTTTTATATTAAGTTCATATCGAATTATTTAAAAAACAATAATAAAAGGGCTGCACCCAATTTTCTATCCATTATGCTGTCTGTATTTATTTACTGATTGTCATTATTCATTGCCTCCTGCCTGTGATCCCACGATTATAGTGAATTTTATCACACAGAAGACAGATATTTATATTAAATGTTGCTGCTATAGTTTCATATAAATGTTTTTTTTTAATGATTCAGAAAGAAAGGCATTTATAAGCTGCACCAAAGTTAGGATACATAAATCTTCTTTTGGCTTCTCTGCCAAATT